CAGTAGGTAGCTGGTCGCAGGTAACAGGTAGCAGGTGGCAGGTAACAGGTAGGTAACAGGTAGCAGGTAGCAGGTAGCGAGCAGGTGGTAGTAGTAGTAGTAGTAGGAGTATCAGCAACACCAGCACTAGCAGGACCAGTAGCAGTAGCAGTAGTAGTAGTAGAATTAGCAGCAGCAGCAGCAGCAGCAGCAGCAGCAGTAGTAGTAGTAGTAGTGGTAGTAGTAATGGTAGTAGTAGTAGCTAAAAGTAGTAGTATAGTGGTAGGTCGTAATGGGTAGCAGGTAGCAGGTAGTTAGTAGTAGTAGTCGTCGTCGTCGTAGTACGTCGCCAGGGGGCTTGTGGACCACCCCCAGAAGATTTGATTAGTTGATACTTGGAATGTTTTTTTGGTATTTGCGAGGGTTTGAAAATGTTTTTTTGGTCAGACGAGTCTTTAGTTTCAAGAAAAAACCAATCAAGGATCTCAAAGGAATCCAATAGCTGAACAAGATTAAAATCAACAAAGTTGATCCTTTAAATCAACCTTGGTCAAGAACACCTGTTGGTTTTCCATCCCGCGGTCTAGAGTAAGTTTTTGAACTTTTTCTAACCCCTCCCGCTTGACAGTTCAGGGATGTTCAGGGCTTGACGCAGACAAAGTCACACAATTTGGCACTGCAAGTAGTTGGTGTGAAAGGTTCTTTCTTGTGGGGCAACGTCGCTTGGCAGTGTTTTTGACATGTGTTCTGAGCTGGCTGTCTGTGACTTCGCTGGCGCTTCGATCGCGCTCGTGCAGTGAATGATTGAACCTTCAGTACTGCGGCTCTTGCTGGGCGCATGGAGCCATTTCTGCATTGGGAGACCGCATCAAGATTGCGCGCAACGCACAGGGCGTGGACATCAACTTGGCGGCGCCAAACTAAGAACTAACAAAACTCAAGCAGATGTGGCCCTTGTACTCTCCTCTTCCTTCATGCCCATGGCAACTAGTAGGTGTGGGGCCTCATGTTTCAGTGGTGTAGCAGTTCGCTTCTTCCCCATCATGTTCAAGATATAGTGTATCATGACACTTTTAAGCTGTCCAGGCATTCGTTAGTCAGCTTGTGAAAACGAGTGGTAAGGTAGAAGCAGCGATGCCCAAAAATAGGTGCTGAGTGTGTTGCGAATGTTGCTTTGACTATTCCTCCTCCACGCCAGAACTTCGACCAACTTCTATACCTCATGGAGGGCGATCCAGGCTGTGGAGCGGAAGGTCCTCCAACTTCTATACTTCCAAGCGGTTGAACCGGGCGCGTGCAGCAGCACAGGTGCGAAGCGCCGCGCGTCCGTCACTTGGGTTTTGGCTTTGGCGCTGGCCTTGGGGACAATGGGCCAGTATATGCACATGCGCAGACACGCACCGTATCGCAGTGGTGGCAAAGACCATCCAGCGACCGCGACAGCGGCAGTCACATCAGTGCGCCCGAACGTGGAGACAACTCAATGTAACCATAAATAACCACAAATGCCAGGTACTTACAGCAAGACAGAGCGCTGCGGCAGCTGCACTACCTTCACATAGTGGCTAACATGCCACACGCGTGGACCACGCGACTCCTCCACGGTGGAGCTGGTGGAAGCGCGTCCACGCGTCGAAGACGACTTGCGCAAGACGCAGAACACGCCGACCGCGAAGACGATTTCGTCGATGCCCTATAGGCAAGCGTCGCAAATTGCGTCGCCGCCAGACCTTGTCGTGCGAACCTCACACCACGACACTCCAACGCACACCACACCCCCACAACAAACGTGCGCCGCAAAAGCTTGATCTCTTTGCTCGCGCGCAAGACATCTTCCGCAACAGCTCACATAGCGACCCTGTCCGACCCTGTGGACGAACTCACTGCGCTCGTCGCTCAAGCCACGGCGCTCCGCGCGCAGCGACAAGCAAGAAGGAACGCGAGACACCAACAGAGCTTCTATGAGGCATTGCCACGCAAAACCACTCTATGGAGCAGCAACAGCAGCAACAGCGTTCCGACCAACCACCAACCACAGCCACTGCGACTTGCTTTCAATGACATGCGCGCATCTGTCTTTGGCCGACAGCGCCTGATCACCTTCCTTGACTCCTTGAGGACGAAGCAACGCTTTGTGATGGATACGCGTCTGTGCGCATGCAGAATACACAGATACTATCCCCTGCCGAATTTCCTCTTTAGAATCTGGGAGCTTGCGCTGAGAATTGTCCTCAGATTTTATAGACAATTTTCTTTTAGAATCAAATATCAACCTATTTGAAAAACCACCGCATTTTAAGCGTGGGGTCCTCCTGGGAGATGTGTTTCAAGCAAAAAATCGCAAAACCACTGTGTTTTACTGTGATTTTTGGCTAAGACATCACCCAAACCTAGGTATTGGGCTATGTTTTGATCAATTTTGCAAGGACCAGACCTATAACTGTTTAAGTAGAGGAGATGAGGAGATACATGGCGTTTTACAATGATTTTTTGCTAAAACATCACCGAACAATACCAAAACCTAGATTTTCACCTTTTGTTAATTTGTGAGGGCCGGGCCTATAACAGTTTTGAGGGAATACCACAAAACCGAGAACCAAAAAACAACCAAAAACACATAAAAACCAAAAAACCAATGTTTGAGAGAAAATGGGGTGGTACTATAGGGGTTTTTGTGTTTTTGGGGGGGGGGGGGGGGGGTGCATCCATTTTATCTCAAACATTTATGGGTTTTTGCGTTTTGATCTTTTGTTTTTTTGTTGCTTCGTTTTTTCTTACACTTTGTCGCGCAGCAGACATTCGTGATAAGTTGCGCAGTCTTTTAGTATATTGCATTTCTGACACGGATGCATAGATTTCAGGGTATGTACAACAGCTTTTGCCGAGCACTGGCGCCACTGTGCTTCCAACAGCATCGCTCAACGCAAGTCTTGCGTAGAAAATTCTTTATAGAACCCTTACTTAAAAGCCACTGAAACTTGATCAAAGCGACCCTGGAAAGGCTACCCCTCATGAAGCCACCATACCTTAAATAAAGCGCACCCCAAATAGAGCTAAACATGTTTGTTGCCTGTTCTAAGTACCTAAGTAAAGATTCATTTCATTTCCTTATTCATCTCCTTCTCTGTTCTAAGTAAAAATTCATTTCACTTATTAAATTCCTTTCTTAGAATTCCCTTTCTGTTCTAAGTAAAGATTCATTTAATTTCCTTATTAAACTCCTTTCTTGGAATTTCCTTTCCGTGTCAATAAAAGGTTCGTTTCATAAACGCCTTTTTCTTAGAAGTCTACTTGATCTCAATCCCAGGAATTTGTCCTAAGTACAGATTCGTTTCAGTTATATACTTCTTAAACTCCTTTCTTAGAATCTGGAATGAACTTTATTCAAGGTCAAAGTGAGGGGGGAGGGGGGGCCCTGTTCATTAACAATAAGGGCGCTCGTGGGAGATGTCTTTTTTCAAAATGGACACCTGAAAATACATCATGAAAACAAGAAGCAAGAGACTAAAGCAACTACTAAAGCAATATCATTGACATACATGTTCATTTTGATGTTGTATTTGCTCATGATGCTACATACATTGCGCGCAGAGAAAGATTAACCTACTTGTCATTGGTGTTACACATTGATAGTGGGCAGACGAGGAGCTGTTAATTGTTGTAATTGACATTGCACGTCCAGACTGGGCACAGGAAGGTTGAACAATATGCGTTTTGCCTAGGCCCCAGAGCAGTTTTTGAAATTTTGCACGGTAACATTGTTTTCTAAAGGTTTTGAGCTAGTGTGTGCTCTCCCGAGCACACCCGCCCTCCAATTATAGAGGCCCTAACATTTGGTTCTAGAGTTGATTTTAGAGTGGATGGTGTGTTGTGAGATCAGGTAGGTTGATTTTAAACCTTCATATGTCAATTGCAACCTTCATATGGTTTTCTAAAACCAAGTTCGACTTTCATATGTCCCCACACTTCTCTATAGAATCAAAATCCAACCTTGGCTATGCGTCATTGATTTTCCAAATTTTTGCTATCAAGTTGATTCTATAGAGAATATGTTTCCAGCAGCGCAGGCACACGGCGCCACAGCTCCAGCGGACCTCCCAGAAGGCAGAAGCAACGACCCAGCCGATCCCCATGCTGACGGAAACGTCGCGATTCGGACCGAGACAGACGGCCGCCTCTATGCGCTGGACAAAGTTAAAGGCCCCAGAACACCACTTACCATCATGATCCAAGACACATTCACCACTCTCGCAATAGAAGCATGTTGCCACAGTGGAGCACCACCGAGCTCGAACGCACCACTCAACTAAACGGAGTCATCTACACCGCGTTTGGCACGGTCGAATGGATTCCGAAAGTATAAGACAACGTATTCGACGCCAGGCCCACCGCATCTCTTCCGCCTAAAACGCACGCGGGTATGCCGGGTATGCCCCCCGCCTTGCGGCGCTCCCGGAACTCGTGGACTCGTGGCGCCACTTCGAAAATACACAGCTCCTTCTCGTCGTGACGAGGACAATGTCAATTGGCGCAAGCGCTCAAGGTCACCCATCAGCACATTGCTCCGCGTTCGCTCGGCGTGGAAGCCCGCTGTCACGTCATGGATGGCTGGTCACCAGCCTTGGACGCACGGAGCAGCTCAGCATTGGCTTGACAACCCCCTACGTAAGGCCATAGTTGCCAATTCCAATCACGCACGGCGCGCGCTCGCCCATACGTGGAACGGGCGGAACGCTGGGACATGTCCACGCTGTGGCCTCGTGTCACTGGCAAACCCACCACCTCCCCACAACACATCCCGAGAAATTAGCCGCCGCCGCCGTGCCTTGCTACCGTGACTACCGTGCATCCCGGCCCTGACCCGGGGCCGGGGCCCGGGGCCTCAAGTGCAAAGTAAAGGACGCAAGGACACACAGGACCATAGTCTTTGCATTAAATTTTGTTGTTGCAGCATACACGTCACACTCAGCACTTTTTCCTGCTACTTCAGGTGTCCGGTTTCTGCCTTGTCCCAGGCTATTCCTGTTCTATGTTAATGCCTCTTTGTTTTGCCGGGTCGGTTTCGCCGTCGTCGTTTCAGTGCTTTGTTCTGTAAGATCACACAATGCAAGGTGCAGCACTTGCTGAACTGCGGTGGGGTGGGAAGCTGCAAGGGAGGCACCGTGGATGGCCCTTACCAGTGGCTCAAACAGATGTCCGAGAAGGGCACTGGCATCAGTTTCCTGGCAAAGCCTTTGACCTTTCCAACAAGTGACATTGCTACAACACGTTACATTGGCAGTACCAAAAGTGCTGAATTACACTTTCTCGGCAGCCTTACAAGCATGCAATTATTCCACATGAGCACTAAGGCTACGAGACGGCAAATCCTTATGTTGCTTGCTCCTCCGACTCGACTGAAGGGTTTTGCTCCCACGTGGACACCTCGTGCAAGGCAATGACGTTGACCGTTTGACCATATTTGATCATGTTTGGATCACGCTTAAGAAGGCTGTGGGGTTGCACGGCATGGGAAAAGTAAGCTAGATTAAATGGTTGCTGCGCACAAGTGAAGGCTGCGAATGTGGCACGTACCTGTGGCAGCTTTTCCCAGGAGGGCGGCCCATGCGTTTTGTCACAAATCCATCTGCATGTGTTTTTCTTGTGTTGCAGTTTTGCAAACCGCCTTGGTAATTCAAAAATGCAAACCAACCAATCCAGCTTGTGCGTGAAAACACATAGTTTCAACATGGGACTCCTTCCCATCAACAGCTCTGAGGCACTGGCCTTGGCTATTTTCCCAATGCAACCATCACGGACTATGGTTCCATCAGTGGCGGGGGGGCCCAGATGTTTTGAAAAGCAACGTGTTATTTGTTTGAATCTGAAAACCTGCAGATGCCTTGTTCAAGTTGAGGAGCAGATGCCATGATGAAGGAAATTTTTCATCGTGGTCCGATTTCCTGCGGCGTGGATGCCAATCCTCTTCTGAACTACGAGTCTGGTGCCGCGCCTATTTGCCGTTGTTGAAAGCAATTCACGATCTAACTTCGAGGCAATTGTAAGGTGCGCCATTATACATATGCAATACACATGCAATGTGCGTTTTCTCGCTCTTACCAAAGGGCAGCCGGTATGTTTCAGCGAGTATTTGACTGCAGAGGCATCATCAAGACCAAGGGTGAGGGTGTGGACCATGTCGTGTCCGTGGTTGGCTGGGGCACTGACTCCAAGGAACACAGATTCACACTTTTTGTTTCTGCATGCCGCATGCCCGTGCATGCAGAGTTCGCATTGCTCAGTCCAGTGGGTGCTTGTAGGATGGCATGTACTGGATTGTCCGCAATTCATGGGGCGAGTACTGGGGTGAGATGGGGTACTTCAGGCGAGGTCGTCACTTGACATGAACTTCTCAACAGTAGGTTTGTAGGTTCAGTGCCGTAACAATTTAGCAGACTTACACCAGTGACCACTGATCTTCAACATTCTTCAACTATTCTTTTGAACCTGATTGTACCATTCTTTCAAAACTATTCCGACCTTGGCAGGGTGGCGAAGGGCGCTCTGGTGTTGGAGGACCAGTGCTCCTGGGCAGTCCCAGGATCTTTCACCGCAGCCGAGAAGAACAACCAGGCGCAGCGCAACTGACAATGGCGCAAACTACCGAATCTTGAGAACTGTCTATGACTATCATTGCTTATCAGGTGCACTGCCATGAGGGCGGTGACAACTGCAAGGCCAAGGCCGAGGAGCACCAGGTTGTTGTTTAAGTTCCTCGGAGCACACCAGAAATCTGTGATCATGTCCAGCATGTTCACTTCTTCCCTTCTCCGACTTTCATGCTTTTGCATGAACTCGCCCCTGCCTTGTAGATCAAACACAGAAATTTGGTTCAAGCTCTCGGGTTTATTGTCTACGGAGATTTGTGGTTTCATTCATTCAGTGTTTTCTTCAAACAGCAAGAATTTGGTGCTGAGAAGCAAGGTGCCACAATCCTTTGAAGATGCACTTCCCAAGACTTCTGACGCTGTCCGTGTGAGCAGTCCCGCTATGCCTTGTTGACGGCCTTGCTTGTCAATGCCTTTGACGAGATTCTTCCAAGGTTGTCAGCATTGGCTGCTTCATGGTAGGATCAGAGTAGCTGTCCTCGAGGCTTTTGGTGGATGGTTGGTCTGCCATTGGTGCTCAGAAAAAAGTTCTCAAGCACTTTGAGTGCCAGTAAAGCAGCACACTGAAGGAGTTGGGAAGCAACTTCATGAGAGTCTAAGAGCATGTTTTGAGCAGGTCGGAAGCTTCAACCCTTCCAAGTACTTTGAGGAGAAGTATTTTTGGGAGAAGGCCAACGCCAGAGACTCAACTGCTTAGCGTGCCGCTGGTGTGGAACCGACCTGACGCAACTATGAACACTGTTTTAGAAGCCGTTTTCTGTAACCAAGGTCGGCCCTTTCTTTCTCTTTTTGTTCTTCGCACCAAGCCTGTACCGTTCTTTCAAGGTGGGCAGATTGGCTCACTTTGTTCCTGTGTGCACCATATATATAATTTGCAAGCTGCAGGATTTCTACTGGACACAGCAATTGCGCAAGCTCAGCACGGAAGAGATCATTAGCGACAGGTATGAATGGCTAAGTTGGGAAGCTCAGCTACCAAACGCATTTCTATCAAGTGGCTAAACGCAGGTTCCTGACACATAGTTTCAGTTCAGCGGTTTCGCCAAGCTTTACGCTTGGCTGGCCAAGGGCTCAACATGCTGCAGGATGAGGTTGAGGCATCACTGCTGAAACAGGCAGCGTTGTCAGATTGAGATGCGTGGTTTGAAATGTCATGCCATTGACATATGTGATCTTGGAGCAAGGACGCTACTAGGGGCTCCTGGCCTTACTACTACAGTAGGAGCAAGGACGCTACTAGGCGCTCCTGGCCGTACTACTAGGAACAAGAAGCTACTAGGGGTTGCTGGATTGGATCGACACTGGATGTCATTGGCAGATGCCGGCGGGTGGCGTCAAGCCTTTGGAGCTTGGACCGTCATCACCTCCCTGAGGACACCCATCAGCGCTGATGGTCGTAGTAGAGGATGGAAGAGTAGCAAAAGCCAAGATCCATTTGAAGCGCATTCCAGACCTCTCAGGAAAGAATGGGAAGAAGATAATGTGTCCTTGCATGTTTCTGTTTGTGCCAAAGAGCTCCAGCCGTCGGAGTTTTTTTGCACCGGGCTCATTCTTTACTCTATGCACGTTAAGGGTGTGTCATTCACATGATCATAAGACAATCTGGAAATGGAAATGCATTTGCCATTGCAGGACTAGCAGCCGACATCATAAGAGTGAAGCAGGAGTGAGGCATAGACTTGGCAAAAGCTGCACTACATCTCAGTCACAGCAATTACTGTAAGTTGATTATTGTATAGTGAAGAGTAGCAGAAACCATGCAGGGGTCAGTTGTCAAACAAGGAGGAGAGCGCACACGCACAACAACTGCTTTGGCACTAGTATCGCAGGTTTCAGACGGATGCTGTTATAGATTTGATATGATTAAGTATTTTTGTGCACCACTCGGCGAAGCCAGAAAAGGAGAGCTTGCACAAATGGCCCAGCCATTGCCATTTCAATGGATTCAACTGATCAGCGTCCTGTTTCCAAGTGAATGTTTGCATCCGACAAAGGTTGGAAGGATCATTGGCCGGCCTTCCTTCCAGTTGTTTATGCATTTACCCGCCCCTGGAAAATGAAGCTCTACAGCCGTTGATCTCGAAGCGGCCTCAATTTGCTTGGCTTGCCGAGGCAGCATGTTGGTCGAAGCTGATGTGTGCAATTTCTCATGGTCATGGTCATTCTTGAGCTTCTTTTGGAGACGCTGCGAGATATGGATTGCCTGACAGGTCATGGCGGAGACAGTGCGGGGGGCAAGGCCTTTGAAGGCAGGATACTGCGCAAGGATATTGCGAAACTCCTCAAGCATTTGTCTCACCTTTGCCGTTACAGTGATTTCTTATTTCCTCAACATGATTGTATTATGTGCAGACATGCAGCATGTCATGCTTTGAAAACAGAACGCCCTGCGCTCCATGGGTCAAGGCAAATTGCTTCCGGTGCTTTGTACTGGCCTTGGCTGCTCTTGCCGCCTACTGGGCGCCAAAGGCGAGGAAGCCGGATGAGTCCTCTAGAATCGAAGAGGTGGGGAAGGCTTGCTCCTAGTAGCAAGAATGCTCCTAGTAGTAATGCCCTTTGTTACTAGTAGCGATGCCCTGGCTCCTAGATGCTCCCAGTAGCTTCTTGCTCCTAGGATGAGATCCACCAAAACGCGCCACTGAGTTCAGCCTTCAAAGATCCGTCTTTGGTCAGAAGTGACATGCACAGGATCCTACGAGGGAACACCAACAAGAACAATAACAAATAAAGCAACAACAAACAACCCGCTGCAAAAGTTCAAGCCGTTGCCTTGCACCAACTAACATTTACCAAGTTTACCAGAGGCATTTACTGCGACTGCTTCCATTTGATTCCGCAGGGGTTCATGATGGCAAAGTAGACATTGTGTTTCTTGTCGACTTCTTGAAAAGTGCATTCTCAACCTGGAGGTTTGGGTGAGTGGATCATTGCACCAAGAGCGCAGGCCGACCAAACCCCTTGTGCGCAATTTGGAATTGAACCAGCCATACATGTTGCGCACGTCTCTCACTCACTTATTCTGCACCTATTATATAATAGCATTTGGATGGATTTAGGATATTGGGGTAGCTAGATTGTGGATTCCACCCTAATTATTGTCGTGACCTTTGCTGCTGCAGCGTACAACCCAGTGCAATGACAAGCACAACAGACAAAAAACCATGAGACACCGAACACCCACAATGACAACATCAGACAGAACCACCGACAACACGACAACATTCAATGACACACACACACACCGCAATAGCAACACCAACAACAGACACGAACCAATGACACATACTGGTAGTACAACTACCACACACAATGACAGCACAAAACACAACCACAGCCCACCAGTGACCCAACCCAATGGTCCCACCAGTGTCCTGCCAGTGGCCTGGCGCTGCTGCCCCCACTAGACTAGACCCAACATGTGACAACACCCGATAAGAAAGACGACGACAACGACAGACAACAAACAATAAGATGGACAAGGACAGCACCAACCGCAGCCCTCCCTAGTCTGACATTTGCTGCAGGCATCAGCCAGTGCCTGGCCAGTCCAATGACAAACAATGCAACAAACAACACACATTGACGCAGACAATGCGCAGTGACACACACACACACAACCGCAACACCAAACATGTGTGCAACACGTCCCGCCAGCTAGTGGCCCGACCCAGGGATCTCACCAGTGCCTGGCCCGAGTGTCCCGCCGGTGGCCCAACATGACAACAGACAACAAACATTGACTCATATAATGGCAACATCAAGCACAACCACAACTCATTTAACTTGACAATGCACTAGGACAAACACCACAGCAGACAACAAGTAATGACACGCATCGTGACAGATCGTGACAGACCGAACAAAGCCACAAGGCGGGTGGAGAAAGCGCGAAATAGAGGAACATGCTTCATGTTCATGTCATCCAGGAACAGCCCGCAATTCATCTCTCGCATCCATTGATCCTTTCCAGCTGCCACCAGGCCAGAACTGGTCACCTGCCGGACTCAGTCCCGGCGGGTGCAGCTTCCGAATGTCCAGAACATTGAGGTGAGGGCACACATGTGGGTGCACTTTCCACACTTTGGAATGACTTACCCGAGGACTCGAGGACAGTTCTGAGATGTTCTGAAAGCTCATTCAACAATGTTAAATCGACACTGGAGATATTATGATACAAAATAAAATGAGTTTTAACTTGATATCCTTGCGACATCTTGCGACTGAAGGCCCGAAGACAAACCAAGGAGCACAAGTTTGATGAGGAGACGCAGACATGGCTGATCAGCAGACATGCACATGCCGTATACCAATATTTTGATATTTGTTTTCATGTGTTCAGAAGCTTAGGCAGGGATGAGAAACATCAGAGATGGAGAGAAACATCAGACAGAGGACGGTGGCATGTACGACATCATCAAGTACCCTCTTCTGACCGAGAAGGCAATCCGAAGAGTTCGAAAGGATGGATAAGATATGTTGTCGCCGAAAGGGTAAGACGGATCAGATACGGCAAGACATGTTTTGATACATTGCATATTCACAATGTTGCCCTGGCGAGGCGTGCCGCCTTTTGGAGAACTACAACATCTACACATTCTTGGTAGACCGCAGGGCCAACAAGTTTTGACCTCATCTCACAGCCAAATCATCATTTTTACATATTACTGTATAAGCATCGAAGTTAGTGCTGGGTGTGAGTTCCTTCAAAGGACCACTTGGAAGGCTGATCTAGATTCAACTGGGAAAACAAAAGGATCATTTGGCGGCAAAGGTTGGAGAAGGCAGACCTGAAAGACTGCTCCAATGCTTTTCCCACTGCTGTGAAAGGCCCCAGATCCGAGCGGCAATTGAGACCATTTTCGATGTTAAGGCCATGTTCTCGGATATTTTCAGGTGTTTCTTTTGTGCAGCGCTCACTTGCAGAGCCATATTAGATTAAGATTGCACTTGTTAAGTTTCCCTACAAATCTACGAACCAAATGATTATATAGTGTGGGCTCTTCTTCAGGGAAGCTCCCCCCTGCCCTCAGGCGGGGGGAGCTTCCTTGAAGAAGCGTGAGCTATCCTGCGTCCTACCTAGAAGCTTACTTAAGCTGCTTGCTACCTTTTCTACCCTCTTCTAGCAGCCTACCCCCCCAAGCTTTAAAAAGAACGACAAAACATCCACCATTTATGTCGTTCGGTTCTAAAGCCGTTCTTCAGCTCGCTGATCTCCCAGGTAGTGAAGTGCAACACGCTCATACCCAACTCGCGCTACACGTTGGCGCGACTTCCTTGGCATTGCACCATAACAGGAACTTGGAATCCAACTGACATCTGCAAGTTGTGCTGGGACTGAACGAATAGTTTTGCAACTTTCAGCTCGGAGAGCCCTGGGTTTGACTGTTCTTCTCTCTTTTGAATCACGGCCACAAGGTTCGGTCAGAAGATTGGCAGAAAATCGCTCTTCAAGAAAGCTTACGTTCAGTTGGAGGACGTGCATGTTGACAGGTTCAAAAGAAGCAGAGCCAGCTGTTACATTTGTTATTTTGCTGGCGCTTGCTGTGATTGTTTTTTTGTTTTGCAGCATGAACTTTGCAGGAAGGGGATTCCATTGACCTCTTCCCAGATGATCCTGAAGCTATTTGATTTGAATTAAGACAACCCATGCAATGTTACAAAACAGATCAGCAAGCCATGATGCAGGATGAACTACGGCTACGGATACGTATGTATGCATAGTCAAGTCAACCTTCTGCACAACTCTGCACATGTATAAATATGCTTGATTTCAGCAACTCAACACCCTTTGAACGCAAAGATAGCTTCTGGAAATGTGGGCGAATGTGAAAAAGGACGAGCTGCCCGCTGCCCTGCACTTTTGACAGCGTGAGCGATGTATTGTGAAGATCCAATCTCGCAATCGTTTGGTTTGGTGTGTACGCGTTTCCCTGTTTGGCATTGTTTTTGAACCTGCGAAACTCTTGGGCCATGTTGGCCACTCCAAAATTGTTTAGCACATGATTCTGACAGCACTTTATTGTTCACGCTGCAGCGGCCTCCTGTCGGGCTGCACCAAAGCTATTGTATGCTATTGTATACAGTGTAACATCCAAGTAATCCAAAGCATCTTAAGAACAACCTCTGTGGAAAGCCATGGAAGAGGCAAGTAAGATAATGAAAATATGCCAAGGGCTCCAAGTGGAAGCATCGCGAGGCTTGATGCGCACCTGTGCTGAGTTTTGGCATCCATGCGCACACCGATTTGGACAGAGACTACATTCTGCACACTGTGCAGAGCTGTGCGCCGTATTGCCCACCGATGCCACACTTTCTGCACAGCACAGTCAAAGTCATTTCCCTACAGGCCCTATCCTGCTGGTCGGGCACTGCCGTCCCATCTTCTATCCTTGGGCATCCTATCAGGTCCTAACAACCAGTTACTGGACGTGGTTGCCCCAATTATATACTGCCAGCGCTCTTCGCTGCTGCTAAAGTTGCTAAAGAGCAAACGGCCCACCAGCGTCTCATTTGGGATTGTCACTGCCTGCGCCTGTCACCATGGCAGCCTTCACGTGGATCAGTTTTCTGAATACTTGACATAATTCATCAAGTGAGTCACGCAGACCACATCCACTGCGTTTGGTGCACTGCTGTTTGCTGGTACTTTTGGGCCACCACGCCGGACCCTGCAAGCTGATTTGCTGCTAAGGCAGTCCCATTTTGTTGTTACAGTTTCACGGGCCGTTGGCCCTTGCCCTCGAGGTGTTAAGGACAGAGTGTTGCGCACCACGCGAGCTTTTCTCAAGATCCCACCCTTGTGATATATGATATATGTCGTGATATATATATATATAATATTATAATTGTGCCATATTATTGTATGCATGTTGGTTAAATTCCTGATACTGTACTTATTGGATGACAATTCTATGCTACCTGCATTAGTCATTAGTCAAATCAAGTGTTCGTCCTCACAATGCTCCTGGGTTTGCATCCTCTTCGGCGTTCTCCCAAAATGTTCTGCACATGGTCACTCGCCAAGGCCCCAGATGATCCAGTTGCTGTGCTTCTTGCTCCCGCCTACCTGGTCGGATCCCCTGCTCCTTCTCTGCCAGAGATACCCAGACTTCTCCTTTTGTTTTGCCTCGCCTCCTGCGAATTCGTGGTCCGTGACAGAGGTGTTTGCCAGCCACTGCTCTGCCAAGTTTGATCTCCTCCACAGCTGTCAATGCGGGTATGCAGGTCCAGGGATAGAAGCAGCCAGCTGTGCCCGCCCTGAGGTTGCAGGAGTCTTGGTGCTTGAGGGCCCCCGATCAGCCGCATGCGCCCCACCTTCGACCGGGCTTTTCCTGGCATTGGCCCCCTCCTTGAGCAACCAAATTCGCAAGAATGGCAGTGATGTGTCTCGATGTGTGGTGACTCAATGAGATATGCGGCCCTCCCAGGCTTTGTCTCATTCCAACCCATCGCGCGGCCTCATAGCTATCACCCACAATGGTTGAAGCGGCGTGAAGCTCGTTTATATCTTCTTGCTGGCTTCACCTACTACTGCTCTCAAACCTGCGTTTTACACAGGTGCTGAGTGTAGCTAGGGCCTAGCGGTAGTCCAATTCACAGCATACATCTCACACGATTGTACAGCCGTACTACCACCCCTCCAGTACCTGTCATATATCACGACGCAGGGCTCAGTGGGACGCATCGTCCGCAAGTCGTGGATACCAAACGCTGTGGATGTGTGTTTGTGTTTTTGAGTGTTGTGGTTGTGCGTTTGTGGTTGTGTGCTTGTTATTGTGGTTGTGGTTGTGTGTTTATGGTTGTGTGTTATGGTCGTGGTTCTGGTTGTGTTTGTGGTTGTGTGTGTGTGTGTTTGTGGTTGTGTGTGTGTTTTTGATTGCGTGTTTGTGGATGTGTTTGTGATTGTGTGCTTGTGGATTCGTGGATGTGTTTGTGGTTGGGTGGTTTGCGGTTGAGGTCGATCTGGCACTTGCCGTTGAGGTCTGACAGTGCCCACTGCAATCTAGCGCTTGCGGTTGAGGTCCAGTAGTGCCCACTGCGATCTTCCACTTGCCGTTAAGGTCCGGTAGTGCCCACCGCGATCTCGCACTTGCAGTTGGGGTCCAGCAGTGCCCACTGCGATCTGGCGCGTGCAGGAGGTCCAGTGAGGTGGAGGAGATGAGGAGAGGAGAGGAAAGAAGAGGAACCCTGTGAAAATCTAACAACCCTCACCTGGCTAGCGGGGACGTCGTGCAACATCCACTCGTTGCTGAACTCTCGTCCACGAGCCCGAAAGTGAAGTTGTGGCGCACAAGCCTATTAAGCTTTGTATGGACGAAGTGAGGCATGAGGGCAACCCGATGTATATCTGATGTGAAAATATGTGAAGCACGAGCGCAGCCCGAATTGATGAGCGCCATTTTCCGCGTGACTCGCGTGTTTGTCGTCGGAGCAACCCCGCGAACCGCTTCGCACCCTGCCCGGCCGTGAATGCGCGTCGAAGACTTTCCGGACCTGCCACTCACAGCTCAGCAACTAGAGTCGACCCAAAAGAGAATTAGGAAATCCAGCTGCCGTGAACGTATTTTGGGATGGAGGGTGAGACCCTCAAATAATATCCATAAATATTTGCAGATTTTTCTAGAACGCGGCAGGTGCTGGGACCCCTGGAGGTCCGTCGTAACATCAGGGCCGTCCAAGCAGCAGGCGCCCACAAGCCAACGTATGCCGCATTCGCGAGCAGCAGAATGAAGGCCAACGCAACCACAAGCAACCGGCTACACGACCCAAAACAAAGCCAGTGGCTGCGCAAAACGCCAGGTTTTGGCGAACATGATTCTTCTGTCACGAGCCAAGCACACATCCTATCCGTGCTGGCCACGTGTCTCTATTTTGTCAACCTTGTCAACAATGGGCAAACACGTGGTGAACTGACCCCCCAAGATCCAAACCTTGCCAAGACTTTGCGACCACTTAGGTGTTGCAAGAGTTCAGTTTCACTGTGTTTTGGCGTCTGCTTTCTTAAGCGCGGCAAATTTCATTTGCCTATGAGGTTGTGCCCTTGTGGTTTTTTCGCGTATGATGAGTTGCTAGTGCCTCCTCCCTTAGTGTTTTGTTCAGCGGACCATTTATCTTTTCGGTTGCACACACGATGTTAGCTGAGGAACAGGGCGACTTCCAAACATGTACTGTAAGTTACATTTTCGGAGCGTAATAGGCTCGCGCCAATGCGCCCAACATCTCCCCAAGGACCGCCGCCGGCCAGACCTTGTCGCGCATGGCGCCTCCCGGCATGGAGAAGCCTGGTTGGCGACGCCGACGCGCAGCGGCGCTCCCACGGCGCGGATGGCGTTGCGAATCCTTGGTAAAGGGCATCCGTCAAACGAAACCCTTGTTTAAGGACCCTCGTCAGACAGAATCCTTAATTTTACTTCCAGCCGCAACAACACGGGTCATCGGCGACCAACGAGCTTCCACGTCGATGGTCAGGGAACCACTACAGGAAACAACGGTCAAGAGTGCAGCTACAAGAAGGAATCAAACGGAACGCACTGTGACGAAGGTGTGTCCTTTGCACCTTTCTGAAACACTTTACAAAGAACATCCAATTAGTCGAATTCTCCTTTTGGGTATTCTGGACTCAACATCGACGGGCAGCGACAACTTCCTTGACTTTGCAGTGAGCAAAGCCATCCCTCAAGATCTTAGCATAGACCTGAGGGGTGGCAATTGGAAGGTAGCTCGAGTCGCCGCCCTTTGACAAAGGCCAGTACAGCGAGCTCAAATACAGAGTTACAAAAAGTCAGAAAACAACGAAAATTCTGAGGTGTGAAAGCACGCTTGGTACGCAAAGGCATATCAATGTCCAGGTGGACTTGCCATGTATAGCAAGATTGTTGACTGTCCCAAGGCCACTTGAAACACAACTCACGTGGTGTCAAATGATTATCAGCCGTTGCAATTTCTGGTTGCGGAGCAGGAGCTGGTGCATCAGGTTTTTTGCACAGCTTGTTCAACTTCGCCAGCCAGAGTTGACGACTGACAATATCAGCTTTTGGCATTTCAGGGTCAGCTTCGAGTTTCTTCGCCAAGTCACGAAGATTTTTTTTGGCATGATCAGCCAAACGGTTGAGTTTCGTGTTTCCATTGTGGAACCAGCAGCAACTGCAAGCTCTTCTGTGAGCTCGGGTTCATCAACGTTCTCTCTAAAAGGTGAGCCGGACACCACAAAACCCTAACGGGGCTTCATGATAAGCACGCCTCTGCTATACAAGTGTGCACGATCAACGGCTTGTCTGTAGCCGCAAATGCGGCGATGACAGCCCATAGTTCTGCGCTGCAACTGGACCGCCGCCAATGAAACACTCTTCCGGCGCCCAAAACAGTACCAGCAGCGCTAACAACGACAACGGCGTATGAAGCCAAGGTCAACCATGGATGGGTTGTAAGTTGAACGGGCCCATCTGTCCAAACATGTTCAGCTTGAGCAGGAGATGGTGACCACTCAGCGACATGAAGCTCAGATGCCTTTGACACTTTGAGCTTCCGCTTGGTATTATTCAGCGGCGTCTCAACCAAGCCTAGCATTGCGAAGATCGGTCCAAAATAAAACTGCGAAGAAGGCTGTTGCAGTTCATTCGGAAGTGAAGAACATCCAAAGGCCCAATGTTGAACAGATTCTTTGGG